CTCTTGAAAGTGCGTCCAACTCTACGGATGATGGGATTTATCATTTCATCCAAAAATGGAGAAAAGTACCTGTTCAGGTTCTCGCCGTGTTGGCGCTCGGCATTTGGTAAACAATTGTGAACCTAATGTTCTGCGTCTAAGATCCCTTTAATCCAAATTCCGTCTTAAGCTCTCAAATGCTTGAAACTGTGATGAATTTATCGACCCCGTTGGTAGCTGATTTCATCTACATATTAGTCTGTTACCGAGGACGTGTTCTCGGAGTTTAGTCTAGAACCTTGTTCAAGCAGATTGGATAATTTGAAAGAGGCATCTGGCTACATCCTCAACATCACTTCTCAATGTAAATTACTTCCGTGATGTACCCAAATACCCTCGTATTATTTTAGTGAGCGAAACGTGTTCAGATTCTCGAAAATGCCTGATGTATATCGCGGGATCTCTTTTCGTACGAGGTGCGTCCTTTCGGTAGAATGGTGATCAAGCCTGAACACAATGATCTAAGCGAGACCATACACTAATCTTGGCAATAGAGACACACTTCGGCTTTCATACAAGAAAGCGCAGACAATGGTCGAAGTGGTTGACGTCTAGCTGCGTGCACTGCAACGACACATCGGGTACTCAAACTAAAGTCTGAAGCTCCCAGATGCCTCGTGTCGTTTATGGTGCTTACTTGGAAGTATGCCGACTCTCTACTTTTAATGATTTTCGGGTGTTGAATAGCAAATGAATGTTCCCTGCGTTCAGTGGCCAGTCCCCTGTATGAGATCAGTAGAACAAATACGCGATTTTCTAGACTGGTTCTTCTACAACATTCAACTAACTTCTTGTCATCAGCGAAGGAGAAGCATGGTGAACTAGTAAGTTGTGTTAGGGCATTTATGAACATCATAAAGCGAGATGGATCTAAGACCAACCGTCAAAACACGCCACTAGCAAACTGAAAGATTCATAAGAGTTCCATGTAACATGGACGCAAAATTCGTATTTGGCAAGTACGCCATCATCCACTTAAATAGTGTTCCTATTATTCCATAGCATTCTGACTGGGTGTATCAAAATAACATTACTGTTTTTGTTGACGATACAATGATTGTTGGGTCCCCGCTTGATTTGAGTAGTGGACAAAATCAAAAGTCGTCCAAGAAAGCAAACTGCTACATCAGCCTGTTGTTTTGATCATAAGAAACCATATTTTTCACCATTTATCCTCATTCGAACGTGTTTCGTGCATCATTTTATTTTTGTTAAAATAAAATTATTGAACTAATGAGAAAAATGTCTGCACTCAAAAACCAGTTACAGGGAATGTATGAATGACACCATGTCATAGGTTAGATTATTTATAGCAATGGGTCTTACTTATCTCTGACTAAACAGTGTTGCGCTTACCGCATTTCGTTGACTCTCCACACCGGCAAAATGTGTGAAGGTGTCCAGTGACGGAAAATCGGACACGCTGTGTCCATCAGGTGCAACAAACCAGTTTTCATCCAGCTCACCGATTGAAGTCAGTGCGGATTCTGACACGACCGGTCCAGATGCAACGACAAAACCAACTGAGGCAGTAACAGAACCGACCACAAAACCGACAGATCCAACTCCAGCTAAGCCATCACCGGAGCAGAAAAACCCGCCTGCAATTCCAAGTGCACCGGAAACAGCTGGGGCAGGTCAGCAGAGCCAACCATCCGGGACTGGTGCACAAAAGAACGGGCAAGCAGAACATGGTGACCAAGGTGAACCACCAAATGAAAGAAAAGCTGCTCTCAGCTCTGTGCTTCTAAGAAAGGCCAGGGATAATTCCGGAACAGCTGGATCAAACGACGTAATTGTGTACTACGTATTAGGTGAGTAGTGGATAACAACGAATGAGTTGTACGTATCACTCAAAAAGGAAGGCTTACAGTGTCTTCAAAGAATGCATCTCATTTGTTATCGCGTTTCTCCTGATCCTACTGGATGTATCTTTTAACATTCGATTC